AATCTGAGAGTTACCATTTACCCAATGCTTACAGAATGCCCATTATTGGCATAATAATTGCTAGCAGTTATTGTTCATGAGGATTCAGAAATGGAGAGCTTTCTTCTAGCTGAGAATAGGGTGAATTTTAGAGACGGTAACATGGAAGAAGTTGTATTTGAGTTGGGTCTTTTTGGTTTTGTTTTGTTTTTAAAAACCTTGAGTTGGGTTAGTGGATAGGAATTGATCATACAAGTCTTTTCAGAAGCAGGGAACAGCATTGACAATCTAACCAAAGCTAAAGCCACACAGTTTTTTTTCAATAAATACTTATCAATATCTACTCAGTGCCAGGCATCATGCTAAGTCCTAGGGATTATGAAGATGAAGTTGGTCTCACAAGGTTCTGTTAATAGATTTCCAATTTTTCTATTCATTCTGTTATTGCTTTGCCACAAATATCAGGTTTTTCTTGGCCACATTTCTGCATGGCCAGCTTTTCTCTCTTGAATCTATGCATATGTGCTGCTTCTTTTGCTCCTTAAATGTACAACTTTCCATTTATTCTAGTGCATTTTAACCTGCTATTGATGACTATTTCTCTAATTTATTGAGGTCAATTGAATTTTGATCTTCTATATACTTAGCACATCCATTTGCTTGGGGTCATATGTAATATTTATGAAAACTTGCACTTCCTTTCCACTGTTCAGAACCACATCTCAATAACCTTTGTGCCAGTATATACTGTAGGTTGGGACTAAAACAAGAAATATGGCCCCAGAGTCCCAGGTTACAAAAACTTATTATATCTGTAATTGACCACAGTTTTGTCAGCTCAAGTTGCAATGATACCTCTGAAATGACAGTCAAAAATATTAACAGCAGGTATGTACCCACCACATATAGAAACAGTGATGCATAATGCATTGGATCCCATTCTAGGGAGGCTTTCAGTCCAGATAACAGGGCATATAGATCACACACATGCATTTGTTTGGCAGGGCACTTGCCTACCCTTCTTCCTAATGGATTAAGAGAAAACAAAAGTGAGAACGTAGGAGCTTAGGAAGGAATTCCTTTCTCCGCTGCCGTCTTCTTACTGGATACCTTCAGAAGGAAGAAGTTGTTAATCTGGTTAGTCAGAGCCCAGGACATCCGTGAGTCCACACTGTACCAGTAGTTGGGGTCACCAGTGGTTGAAAGGTCACATCGCTACGTGTGCTGCTTTTACTCCCCATTGCCTGCTAAGAGGCTCAGCCCAGTCTCCATTCAGGACACTTAGATGAGTACAGCTGGTCTGCTTTGCAAATCTGACCATCTTCTCCTCTCTTTCTGCAGGCATGCCTACACATTCTAGCCCCAAAATTTAGAGGGCAGAGGGGGAGCAGGGAATAACAAAGCTTCATTTCAGCCTTAAACATAAGCCATGGGATTCAGACTCAGTCTCTTGGCAGAGTTCTGTTCTAGAAGTTATTGGGTGCTAGCTCAGCTATGAATACAATGATCCTTTAATTTCGATTCCAATGTCTTTCTTGTGTATAGTTTCCTTGGGAGTCCCAGGCAGAGGAGAGATGATTAGCAGAGCAGGATTTGGCTATTTCTGGTCCTCAGTTGTGGCAGGCAATATTGTTGGTTTCACAAATTTTTGCTTCCTTTCCCGGGGAAGGATTATACTTCCCTACCCCACTGACATCAGACTTGGCCAGGTGATCTAGTTCTTACCAAGAACATGTGAGCAGATCTAGATGTTTAGACTCCAGGCAGAAGCATTAAGAGACAGGATACAATTCACCATGGCTGCTATTGCTCTTACATGAGACCTTGGGTCCTGGCACTGAAAACAACCTAGAATACAGCCAAGCTGACCTGCAATGAACATGTATAGTATTTTGAGAAATAAAACTTTGTTGTTATAAACCACTTTGGAATCACCTGTTACTGCAGCCTAACCTAGCTTATTCTGACTGGTACATTTACTTTCTTACCATCTGCATCAAACACCATTGTTTGCCCTCCCAACAACGATTCTCCATTTCCTCCAAAGAGAACCCCAATTTTGCCAGGGTATTCACCTCATTCTACATGCGTTTGAAGTAGGAGATTCTAATTCCCAGCCATAGGGAGTGAATCATAATTAATTTAAGCCATTCATGATGGATTCTTGCTCCTTGCTGGTGGTGACTGACAGGTGTGGGAAGTCTGCTTGAGGGCTCCTGAGACAGGTTTTCCTTGATAATAAAAAGAGACACAGAGGGCCGGCCGAGTGGCTCAGTTGGTTAAGAGCTCGCTCAAGAGTTTGAGCTCTGAGCAACAGCGGTTCGAGTCCAGCCTGAGCTGAGCAGCCGCTGAGCTGCCAACAGGCAGCAGGATGGCTCAGCTAAAAAAAAGAGACACATGGGAAGAAACAGTCTCTCCACTTCTGCTGGACATTGTGTGTCCACATGTGTCAGCTAGAATCGTGGCAGCCATTTTTAACTACGAGGAGCACTTGCCTATGGATGACAGAGTGAAAAGATGGAAAGAATCTGCATCCCTGATAATGTTATTGAGCCGTTAAATGAAGTAACTCTAGAGCTGACCTACCCTTAGATTTCTTGTTACATGAGATAATTCATTTTTGTTATTGTTTAAGACAGTTGAATCTGGAATGGAGGAAAAAAGAATGTGTTTAGCTTTAAGGATATTGAGGTGGTGGCAGAACAGCATCCTTTGATATTGGTGAAGCTCAGGAGATGTCAGGGTTAAATTTGAATTTGGAAGCTATCTATGGAGAAATAGTACATAAAGTAATACATTTTAGAAAATCATGCTGTACTTGGGGTAGTACCTCTGTGCTTGAGGAATTTCGGTAATATAACATTACCCTATACAGATGTAGCCACTTCCTAACTGGATATGCCATTATCTCACCTCCTCACTTACCAGTGATCCTAGAAAAGGAAGATCAGCGTTGGTAGCAACCTCTAGAGAGGAAGAGCAAAGATAGTGAGGAAGTGACTATAACATCTGGATCCTCAGGTCCTGATCTCCTCAAGCCTGGGTTTTGGGGATTTTGGTAACCATTTGCATGTGACTTAAATATTCCAGTCTGTGTAGATGACCATGAAAACGGGTTATAAGCAACTTCTAAATTTACTGACTCTTATATACAAATTGTCATTCCAGGAAATTATGGTTCTGATCTTCTTATAGACATCCCATGTATGATGCTGCAAAAGCCCAGTAGGAAGCATTAAGATCAAGAAAATATACACTGGGGCCGGCAGAGTGGCTCAGTTGGTTAAGAGCGCTGAGCAACAGGGTTGCTGGTTCAATTCCCACATGGGCCAGTGAGCTGTGCCCGGGCTGAGCTGCCACTGAGCTGCCAACAGGTGGCAGGATGGCTCAGCTGATGAGAGCACGTGCTCCTAACAACAAGGTTGCCAGTTCGACTCCCACATGGGATGGTGGGCTATGCCCACCTACAACTAAGATTGAACAGGGCACCTTGAGCTGAGCAGCCTCGAGCTGCCAAAGGGCAGCCGGATGGCGACCGGACTTGGAGCTGAGCTAGCTACGCCCTCCACAACTAAGATTGAAGGACAACAACTTGGCTGTTCTCCTTCCCCAATAAAATTTAAAAAAGAAAATATACACCATGGGACATCAAGGAAATGGTCCATATAGAAGATAGACCCTCTAGTGTGCAAGTTGGTCTGTGGTTAAAAGAGTTTTGAAAGTTACTAATCCATAGGGCACTAGATTACTGTTACTTTAATACATGGGGGGGGGGTATTTTGCAACACAAAAGGATTTACCTAACATTGCTTGAAAAAGAAATAAATTTTGAAATTCTGTTTAGACAGAACCTTTCTAAAGGTACATCTAGTGGGTTAATGCACACATTTAAATAATATTTACTATACAGTGAAGCCTGTATCTTATTTGAAACATCTTACCACATTTCTAAGTTGTCATTGCTGGGCCTGCCTTGAAATTACTCTTGATTCCCTAAGCCTAAAAAAGGACATATTTTAATGAGCTGGAAGAACAAATGCAGTCTCAAAAATGGCTAACTTCAGTCTTGCAGTTATTTAGAAAGGAAAATCTGGCTTCAAACATTGTTGTTTGCAGGCAGATTCTGCAATTGGCTGGGACCAAGAATGGTGTTTAAAGATGACTCAGTTGTATGGCCTGAGGGGGAAGACTAGCCACTAGTCCATCTGAATGAAATGAGTCTGAGATCCGTTTTCATCACGTTGAGGTTCTACAGGCCTAGAACAGCTGCAGACTAGGAGGGGGTGTCCAGTGTAAGAAAACCTGAGACCCTAAGAAATGTACCTTCAAACAGTCTGAACCGGGAAGGGCTAAAACCCAACTCCCCCTCAACCTCCAGCTCCAGTTCCAGGCCAGGATTTGGGCACAGAATTCCAAAGCTAGGGTGTAACTGGGGGACTAGCCAGGTGACCTTTGCTAGGCCCCGGAGTTCCCCTTGGGACGTCCCTGAGGCCCTGCTCAGGCTCTGTAGGGGACCGTCAGTGACCCAAGCCCCCGATGCTCGCGACCACCTTTGAAACGCATCCTGCTGCCCGCTGCACACCATTATTAGTCCGTCAGCCAGGACATCCCTCCACGCCC